TACAGAATTTTGGGTGTCTGACTGGTTAAGCAGTCCTCGCTTAGCCATCCTGCCTCCCCTAGGCGCGCTAAGCGGCTAGAGCGTCTTTCAGCTCCTTCAGGGTTCGCATCGCTTCATGCACCAGCCGTTTGGTGACTTTTCCTTTCGGCGTTATGTTTCGAATTCTTGGTGTAGTGCGTTTGATTGGGTGCTTGTTCTGCGGCACGGCTTTGTGCTGGCGACGCCCAGTAAATGCGGAGCCAATGTTCCGAGCAAGTCTTGGGGGATAGCGTGCAGGCGGCTTTAACCGGCGACCAGAGGTGCTGGAGTCATTTCTATGTAAGAGCGTGTGATGATATTGGCCACATGTTCTACAATTTCCGTTTGATGTGCACGCGCTTGTAGCGTGGGAGAGTGCGAGACAGTTTGTGCAGAACTTATGAGCTCGCGCGATGAGGAACCTCTGTTGTGGGTGCATGGCCCGAAAAACTGGGCATACTCTGAGCGCATGATAGCGCGCACAAAGACGACATCTCTGAAAGTCTGTTGCTGATGGTTCGCCAGTTATAGGTTGAGTAGGTGCCGGGATTGGAACCCCATCCATCGGCCGTACTACCCTCGGCGACAAGGCACGGCGTGGCACCGGTTGAGGCGTATCAACCTTCCCCTGCGACGAAGTGGAGGGGCGTGGCGCTGGCTTAGGTGTGTCGGTCTTCCCCTGCGACGAAGCAAAAGTGCGTGGTGCCGGCTGAGGCTTGTCCATCTCCATCTGCAAATAGGGATTTGCGAATAGCTTAATAGTGGGATGTTAGACACTGGTTAATAAGGCAGAGGGATAAGCTTATAGGTGGATTGCCTGTCAAGTCATTGTGGGAAACAAATGTATGGAAGCAGTGCGGGTATAGGGCGGCCATTCAAGACGAGAGATATCAACATGAACGGTGAAAATCGGTTTAGTTATCTGCTGTGGGTGTTGGAGGACCATTAGCGTATGGCAACGGGCATAGCTTTACAATAGACCGAGTGAGAATGCCGGTTTTGGTGCATACGTCAACTACACGGATATGCCCATCTGGACCGGGATGGGTCCTTTCTATGCGTCCAAGACGCCACTCAGTGGGCGGCAACGTATCATCTATAATGAGGACGCATTCTCCAGCTTTCGGTGAAACTTTAGTGTCTTTCCATCTATAACGTTTCTGAAGGTCTTTGAGATAATCTTCCTTCCAACGGCGGCTGAATTGATGGTGCACAACTTTAACCCTCTCCCACCTATTGAGAAGAGACAAATTGCTATGGTCTACTTCCGGGAGAGACAAGAGGGCAGTTCACCTTAGGAAATGGCCAGGGGTGAGGGCCGTGAATTCCGTGGGATCTTGGGAGAGAGCGCAGATGGGCCGAGAATTTAATACCGCTTCGATCCTAACTAAAAGAGTGGCGAATTCTTCAAACGTGAATTTGTGTGCTCCAGCTGTTCGTTTGAGATGTAACTTGAAGCTTTTGACGGCGGATTCCCATAATCCGCCCATGTGAGGGCTGCCAGGGGGGATAAATCTCCAATCAATGCCTTGGGGAGAATATTGCTTGACGATGTCTTGAGATACTTCTTGCAGGAAACTACAGAATTCCTTCTCTGTTGCTCTTTTGGCTCCAATGAAAGTAGTGCCATTGTCACTCATCATTCTTGCTGGATAGCCTCGACGCCCAACAAACCGGGCAAACGCGGCGAGAAATGCGTTTGTGGTCAAATCGGAGCACAGCTCAAGGTGAACCGCCTTTGTTGTGAAACACACAAATACGGCCACGTAGCCTTTCACAATGGTGGAGGACCTTAGCATGGAGGCTTTTACTTGAAAAGGCCCAGCAAAATCTACACCGGTGGTGGTGAAAGGCGGAGCGTAAGTGCAACGCTCTGGTGGCAACGCCGCCATGATTTGAGAGCGCGTTTGATGCTTGTGAGCGGTGCAAGCTTTACATTGAAAAATGCACTTTTTTATAAGAGGCTTGAGTCGGGGGATGTAGAATTCCTGTCTTATCATTTGCTGCATGAGCCGAAGTTCGGCATGTAGGAGGAGCTCGTGGAGAAAACGAAGATAGAGAACAGCAAATCGAGATTTTTCGGGCATAATGAGGGGATGACGTTCATTATAGCTAAGAGTGGAGTGGGCCAACCGACCATTGACCCGGAGTAACCCACACTTGTCTAGAAGGGGGTTGAGAACTAGCAAGGGGCTTTTCTTAGCAATTGGCACTGACTGCGATAAGCATGCAATTTCGCGGGGGAAGTAACGGTTTTGCGTTAAGGCAATGAGACGACGTTTGGTAGAGCGGAAATCATTGTGCGATAGGGGTAATGGGAGAGGATCCTGGGCGGCTTGATTTCGGTTCTTTAAGCGATCTAAAAATTTGAAGACATATGCCATAACTTTAAGCATGCGGGAAAAAGACGAAAAGCGATCTAAAATGTCGGTATCATCTTCGGCAGTGTGAAAGGCGTCGACTCGACGGACTTCCGGTGGGTTAATAGAGCGGGTAGCGGATTTTGGCCAGGTGTCGGGTGGTTGGGTTAGCCAGTTGGGCCCATGCCACCATAGAGAAGAGGAGGCTAAATCGAGGGGTTTGCATCCTCTTGTTCCCATGTCCGCGGGATTTTCGCTGCTGCACACATGCCTCCAAGTGGAATTTCCTACCAGATCAATGATTTGCGCGGTGCGGTTCGAGACGTAGGTTTTCCAGGAGTGGGGCGGTTTTTCCAGCCAGGCCAGGACTATTTCTGAATCTGACCACATTGTCAGTTTTCGATCTGAGAAACCGAGGTGCGATTGGACAGCTGAGGCTAATTTAGCTAGAAGGAGAGCCCCACATAGTTCGAGTCGAGGTAGGCTAATGGTTCTGAGGGGCGCAACTTTGCCTTTTGACACCAGTAGGTGGGAAGAGACTTGTTCACCTTGTGTGGCTCGGACGTATATGGCTGCGCAATACGCTTTTTCCGAAGCGTCGCAGAACCCATGTAGCTCCATTTGTTGGCCTGGAACGTAATTGACCCATCGGGGTATTTGAATGGCCGAGATAGATTTCAAATTGTTGGCGAATTGCAACCATTTATGGAGGCGGAGGGGTTTGACTTGTTCATCCCAGTCAGTTCCATCGAGCCATAGCTCTTGTAAGAGAACTTTGGCTTGAATCATTATTGGCGAGAGCCATCCTGCGGGGTCGAACAGTTTAGCGACAGAAGAGAGAATCTGTCGCTTTGTGCTCGCCGACGAGGCTGATATGGATTCAATGGTGTAAGAGAAGGAGTCAGTAATGGCATTCCATTGAATCCCGAGGGTTTTGGTGATACTTGCTTTTTCGAATTCGAGAAAGTTGCTCTCAAGCAAGTCCTCCTTTTTTATGTCTTTGAGCAAATCAGGGTGGTTCGCCGTGATCTTTTTTAAGGGAAAGCCAGCGGATTTCAGAGCTTGAATGACTTGGGAGAGAGATTTAGTTGCTGAGATGAGGTCATGACCTCCAGAAAGTATGTCGTCCACATATGTTTCGGTTTTTAGTATTGGCACCGCCAAGGGATGTGTTATTTTTACATCATCAGAGAGTTGGTGAAGAGTGCGTATTGCGAGAAATGGTGCACAATTTACACCGAATGTCACGGTTTTTAACCTGTAGTCTCGAATGGGGCTGCTTGCAGATGATCTAAATATAATTCTCTGGTAATTCTGGTGGTCTTTATGTAAAAGTATCTGACGATACATTTTTTCTACATCGCCATTGAACACAAACTGATACGTGCGCCATTTGAGGATTAATAGCATCAGATCGGGTTGAAGTATTGGTCCGGTATAGAGAACATCATTAAAAGAGAGTCCGGAACCTGATCTTCGTGATGCATTAAATACGACACGTACCTTGGTGGTTCTCTTTTCGGGTTTGACCACCGCGTGGTGGGGGAGATAGAAGGAATAATATTTTCCTTCTGAGGATTTTTCATAGGAAGTTGTTTCTTCCATATGATTTAGGGTGAGATATTCCCCTAAGACATTATCATACAGGGGTTTTAGGTCGGCTTTTTTTCTGAAGACTTCTCTCCATACTGAAAAATTGCTGGAGAGCTGTGGTGCGAGATTGACCTAGAGATATTTCCTTCGGGAAACCTGGCTTGAAAGGGAGCCGGACTACGTAGCGACCTTCAGGCGTGCGCGATGTTGTGGATTGGTATAACTCCTCGCATAGCTTATCTTCAGGACTCATGAGGTTGGGTGTCGGAACTTCTTCTACCTCCCAGAACTTTCGTAGTTGGGATTCCAGTAGTTTGTTAGAGGTTTGTTCCACTTGAGTGGAGAAAGATACCACATGATTAGGGATTTGACCGCTCAAAATCCAGCCAAAAATGGTATTTTGTGCTAACAGATTTTTTTGAGATATGTTCAATGCCTTCAAGCATGATTTGCGGGATGAGATAGCTGCCTATCACTAGGTCGATTTGAGACGGGGAATGACAATTGGGGTCTGCTAGCTTAATATGAGACCACTTCTCGCGTTGTTCGCGAGTTGGCTGGAATCTTGGGAGTATTTTAGTTAGTTGGGGTAGCACAATTGCTTGAGCGGTGACTTTCGTAGCAAAGTCGGAGGAGACTAAGACAAGAGAACAGATTTTGTTCGAAGTCTGAACTACTGTCCCACCCATGCCGGAGATTTCAAAGTTCGAGCTTTGACATGGTAATCTCAGTTTGTTTTGGGCCTTAGAAGAAATGAAGCTCCGTTCTGAGCCCTGATCGATGAGAGCTCGCAGTTTAAAGAGTTCTCCTCTCTGTTCTACTGAGACTATCGCTGTAGGGAGAAGGACTTTGCTCTCATTTTCAGAGTAGTACGATTGTACTCTGGTTCCATTAGAACTTGACGGTAAATCATCTTGTTCTTCCGTTTCTTGTGGGGCTTGCAGGTTGGGGTTTGGCATATCAGTCATGGCTACCTGCGATGTGGTCCTTTGTACTCGAGAGTCTTGCCTTTTTGGCGGAGGGGCTGTGCTATAGTGCAGCACTGAGTTGTGTCTTTCTCGACAATTGGAGCAGGTTTGAGTACTTGGACAATCTTTCAGGGAGTGTGACTGAGAGAGGCAGTTAAAGCACATGTTGTTTTCTCTTACGAATTTTCTGCGATCCTGAACCGACAATTTACGGAACCTGTGGCAGTTCCACAATGAGTGCGAGGAATCTTTGCACATGGAACATTTATACATCGTACGCTGTTCTGTCACATGCGATTGGACTTGCGTCGATGATTTATTATGCGACTGTTGAAAGTGAGAAGGTTTGAAGGGGGGTCTGTTGTGCGGTTGAGTGGTTCTAAATGAAATGGAATTTTGGGGATTGGGTCTTGGTTTGGCTGGGCGCCATTGATCAACCCTTTCGACCACCTCATATCGAGTGGTTAGGAACTGGTTCATTTGGGACCAGTTCGGAAGGTCTTTCCTGGAACTGAGAGATTGCTCCCACAGAGCTACTGTGTTCTCAGGAAGTTTTGAGGTGACGAGGTAAATTATTACGGGGTCCCAGCTCTCTGTGGAGACTTGTTGGGTGGCGAGAATTTGGAGACAGTTATTCACTGATGATTGGAGTTTTTGAATATCTTCACTGTTCTCCACTTGAATAGATTTTAAATTCATGAGAATACGTATTTGGTTGTCAACTAATACTCTTTTATTCTCATAGCGAGACCGTAAGGCTTCCCATGCCAGATCAAAATTATCATCGCTCAGTGGGAATTGTTTCACGATTTGGCCGGCTTTGCCTTGAGTCTTGTACCGGAGATGGTACAATTTCTGAGCTTTTGTGAGTTTTGGGAGATTAATATATACCGCCAAGAACATGTCACGAAAAGACGGCCATTGCTCATAACCCCCATAAAATGTTTCCGTATCGCACGGTGGGACCTTTAGGCCGAAGCTAGAGTTTTCCTGGGGTTGAGACATACTGGGAGTGGGCGTGGTATTGCTGACTTGATTAAGAAGCAGGAGTTGATCACCAATCTGGGTTTTCGTATTTTCATACGTTATGAGGCATGACCTGTATTTATTATAAGCGGAGGCTTTGAAGTCCTCGGGAAGGTCCTGCTCCTCAGTCTCTATTACTAAATCATATGCGCTCTGTACTCGATTCCAAAAATTATCAATGTTCTTGTCTTTAATTTTTAGTGCAGACTCAGTATTGTCTTGTACTGAATCGGGTACAGTAATCCATTAAATTGTCTGTCTCAGAGATAAATTTAGGGGCTACGACTGACTGTTTGGGTTTCTTATTGGACCTTCCGCCTGCACGCGTAGCGCGTTGAGATTCAGCGGAAGTTCCTTGTTGCTTCTCATCATCACTCATTTTTGGACTTTTCGATTTAGCGTCACTATGAGGTGCGGCAAGCATTAACGAGATGACTTTAAATTTTATTTACGATACGGAGATCAAAGAGAGAAGAGACAAAAAAAAAATCTACTGCCGGTCTAAACTCGAGTTCTTGTGACCGAACGTAAATGGAGGGTTTCGCTATGTATATAGTTATATATGTATATATATTTGTGATGATTCTTGCTAAATTAACGCAATGAAAGGCAATTACGTAAGTGCGAATGCCACGATATATAAAAAAAAGGGTGTTTGCACTTTGATACGTGCTACTGATAAAATCGCTGGAGAAGTTTTATTTTATTGTATTTATTTTTTTTTTTTGTTTGTGGGTCTATTGAGGGATATAAGGGGACCGTTTCACTGTACCCGCACTGCACCGTATAACTATGTGTATGTGTGCCGAATTAGCCTTTATCTTAATAGCACTTTATATTATATAATGTATTAAATGTATATATGTGTTGTTGGGAAAATGTAATTATATGTTAGTAGAGATAGTTTACAATATGTTTGTGTATATATGTATGTTTACACGGAGATTTGCTTAAACATGGAGCATAGGGATAATATGCAAGTAATTTTTATTCTCAGCTTTTATTTTGTTGCATACGTTTCTAAATATTTCAGAGACGAACTTTCTTTTTTTGTAAAGTAGAAAGCCACTGTACGTTATTTCAGTGTGAGATTATAAATTGAGATCATAACACGAGTTTGTGCCACTGTATTTAATTATATGAATGTGTGCTTATACGTGAGCTATGTATTGTACATACAAATGTATGTGTGTATGTATGTTTGCATACACGAAGCACCTGTTTCACTTTAATATTTTGTTGTGCAAACTAAAAAGGAGATATATGTTATAAAAATGGATGTGAGTAAATTATGCACAAATGGGTTTTAAATCATACAGGGGCTCGCTTAATTGGGAGAGAATTTAGTTTTACAGCTTTTATTTTTACTGTCTTACAGTATGTATTTACCGCGTATGTATGTACATATGTACGTATGTACTATATGCAAATGTTCTTGTATGTACAGTGGTATATGCGAACCGTTTCGGGATTTATTTACTCGAAGAAATGAACTTGTTAAAAAACCAATACGGTCGCAGAATTACGGGAATCGAGGAAAAGAAATGTACATATGTATATGTGTAAAGAAATTTTCTATAACGGGATGCGAGCACCGTTTTTATTAAACTTATAAGATTTTTCTTTAGAGGATCAAAATGTATGCGCGATTTGGCTAGTTTTTAGGCTGTTTTTTGGTGAAATGGGGTTAGTAAGCAATTCAGATTCTTACTTACGGTTTTTAGGGATACTTTTTATTTGGGTTCTGAATTCCAACGGTGCTGGCTCTTTCAAGGCGACGAAGGACCAGTGTTTAGGCGGTAGGCCTTTTCGGGGAATAGGGTGAGATGACCCAACGGCGGGGGGTGAGCTGACCCTCAGATGGGGGTGCTGGCGAACCGGGAGGCTAGTGGTGGCGGCGATGTGGTCAATGGTGGCAGGCGGCGATGTGGTAGATGGTGGCAGGCGGCGATGCAAAACGCTGGCGGCAGGCGATGATGCGGGAGCTGTTGACGAACGGCGA